CAAAAACTCACTTGGCAAAGGGTCTAAATCTCAAGGTAGGTATCAGGAGTCAAAACGGCCCAGGTTCTCACGACATGAAACATAACGAACTGACAAAGGAACAAAGAAACACCAGGGCTATATATAGGTGAGGGGGATGGGCACAGGTGAAAACAATCAGGGCAGGGCCAAGCAATCTCAAGGGCGGGAAACACACAAAGGCAGGAAATGTGGGATCTGGAATGAGAGGAAAGATTACTTTCAAAATAAAAACAGGAAGTGACAAGATCCAAACACAAAACTAGAGTAAAAACATAACTAAACCTAACATATCTGTCGAGTCACAACAATTTCAGCTAAATTATTTGGCTTTCTGACATAGACTTGTTTTTTCAGCACTGTCCACATGTTCTCAGTCAGGTTTAAGTCGGGACTTTGGGAAGTCATTCTAAAACCTTAATTCTAGCCTGATTTAGCCACTCCTTAACCAATGGCTAAATCCCATTCCTTTTGTATGTGTGTCTGTGGTCATTGTCCTGTTGGAACACCCAACTGCGCCTAAGACCCAACCTGCTGGCTTCATTATTCCATTGACTTTAGGAAAAGCACTAGTTCCATTGGCAGCAAAACTAGCTCAGCACATAATAGTAGCACCACCATGCTTGACGGTAGGCATGGTGATGTTGGGGTTAAAGGCCTCACCTTCTCTCCTCCAAACATACAGTGCATCCGGAAAGTATTCATACCCCTTCACTTTTTTCACATTTTGTTATGTTACAGCCTTATTTCAAAATGGATTAAATTCATTTTGTTTCTCAATATTCCACACACAATACCCAATAATGACAAAGTGAAAACGTTTTTAAAGAATTGTTTGCAAACTTGTTAAAAATAATCAAATGAAATATCACATGTACATAAGTATTCACACCCTTTGCTATGACACTGAAAATTGAGCTGAGGTGCATCCCGTTTCCACTGATAATCCTTGAGATGTTTCTATAACTTGAAACAGGGGGGTCCTGATGGAAAAGTAAGAGATCCCTTCTCATTTGATTCTTTACAGCTGTGCAGTGTTTCAGCATCTGAGGAGCCATGGAACTCATTGATCTATTACAGCAGGGGTCCACCTGTGGTCAATTCAATAGATTTGACATGACTTGGAAAGGAACTCACCTGTCTATATGAGGGCCCACAGTTGACAGTGCATATCAGAGCACAAATCAAGTCATGAGGTCCAGAGAATTGTCTGTAAACCTCAGAGACAGGATTGTATGAAGGCACAGATCTGGGTTAGGGTACTGAAACATTTCTGCAGCATTAAACGTCCCAACAAGCACATTGGTTTCCATCATTTGCAAATGGAAGATGTTTGAAACCACCAGGGCTCTTCCTAGAGCTTGCTGCCCAAACCAAACTGAACACCAGGGGAGAAGGGCCTTAGTCAGAGAGGTGACCAAGAACCCGATGGTCACTCTGACAGAGCTCCAGTGTTCCTCTGTGGAGATGGGAGAACCTTCTAGAAAGACAACCATTTGTGCAGCACTCCACCAATCAGGCCTTTATGGTAGAGTGGCCAGAAGGAAGCCACTCCTCAGCAAAAGGCACATGAAAGCCCCCATGGAGCACCTTGAGCAGTGCTTTTCAAAGTGGGGGTTACGCAAAGTTTGAGGGAAAGAGGAATCTTTTTCTTTTTTTAAAGTTACATTTTTTTTTTTAGATGTTATTAATAACTGCATATCTATCAATATATGTGTCCTTTGTTGCCAATCTTTTAATATTTTTTGTTTATTAATATTTTGTTTTTTTGTTTTTAAATCACACGACCGCCCTTCAAGCCAATCAGAATCGAGCTGCCGCTACTTTGAGTGAAACTGATTATCTGCTCAGCTTTTAAAGCAAGTGAGAGCTAGTGAATATTTCGCTCTGCAGCTGTATGAGTGCAAGGATGTAGCAAATATTGTTGTTTATATAATACCATCCATACAGTGAAGCATTGTGGTGGCAGCATCATGCTGTGGGGATGTTTTTCAGCGGCAGGAACTGGGAGACTAGTCAGGATCAAGGGAAAGATGAATGCAGCAATGTACAGAGAGATCCTTAAAGAAACCTGCTTCAGAGCGCTCTGGACCTCAGACTGGAGCAAAGGTTCACCTTTAAACAGGACAACGACCCTAAGAACACAGCCAAGATAACAAAGGAGTGGATTAGGGAAAAGTCTGTGAATGTCCTTGAGTGGCCCAGCCAGAGCCCAGACTTGAACCGGATTGAATATCTCTGGAGAGATCTTAAAATGGCTGTGCACCGACGCTCCCCATCAAAGCTGATGGAGCTTGAGACAATCTGCAAAGAAGAATGGGAGAAACTGCCTAAAGATATGTGCCAAGCTTGTAGCATCATACTAAAGAAGACTTGAGGCTGTAATTGCTTCCAAAGGTGCTTCAACAACGTATTGAGTAAAGGGTGTGAATACTTATGCACATGTGATATTTGAGTGTTTTATTTTTAATTAATTAGCAAACATTATTTAAAAACTTTTTCACTTTGTCATTATGGGGTATTGTGTGTAGAATGTTGAGAAAACAAATGAATTTAATCCAAATTTAAATAAGGCTGTAACGAACAAAAATGTGGAAAAAGTGAAGGGGTATGAATACTTTCCGGGTGCACTGCAACCATGCCTATCTGGAGTTTAACCTTTAATGAGCAGCTCAATTAAAACTCTTTAATAAAACCTCTTTCTTGCTCAAAGCCCTGATGGATGTACGTTAGCAGGGCAAAAGGTGAACAACAGTGAGTTTAGTCCAACGTGTTGAGGCCACAAAGGGAAATCAAATCACTTGTATTATGTATGACAATGTAATTAACTTTCATTAAGTACACACACTTTGGAAAAGTATACAGCGTGCATATTCAACCAGTCTGACAGATTATTCACTTTCTCAAAAGGAACAACCTACCCAGGTCACATGTGTAATCAGTACCATCTGCTTTTATATCATTTATGTACATACAGTTAAATAACACAAAACAACTCATCATATGGGTGTCTGGCACACAGTGATGAAGACAGAGCAACCTTTATGGGATGGCATGTGAGGCCAAGAGACAGATGGTGTTAAATGATATTATTATTATATTCAAAACATTCATTTAGATTTAATTTCCTAGAACCTATGGAAGTGGCAAACACATTTATTTTGCCGGTCTGCTATGGTGACATACAAAGCCTGTGCTCTACTGATTTATGGTGGATAATTCACTGAGAATAGAGCAAATAATATGTAGTTCAATCATTAAAGTACAACACAAATAAAAAGTTTAAACTATATTAAAACAATATTCATCTATTCATACTGAAAAGCTAATACCAACAAATAGAAAACATTAAATCCATAATGTAGCTCAGGAACTACTGACTAACCTTAAAACTGTGCATTATTTCAAATGTTTCGAAGATATTCATTATACCCGGGATGTGCTTGTGACACGAAATAAATAATAGCTCACGAAAGTAGAAACCATCATAGTAAAATACAGCTTTTATACATTAAAACTGTGGATATTTTAAATAAGAAGGTAAAATAGCTTGAATGCTCCCTGCTGAAGAACAAGTGAAGCAATCAGTCTCTCTCTGGAGTGACAACCAGAGATGAGACTGTACTAAACCACTGAAGTCCCCCCTGTCATTCTACTCAAGACATTTTCATTTAAAGAAACAGTTAGTGCTAAAGTGATGACATTAGTTTAGAAGTGAGGCCGGGTCTGACCTGGTCTGGTCCTGGTGCTGGTCGAAGGCCTTGAGGGTCTCACTGGAGGAGTAGGACTTCTGGGTGGGGACACGGAGCCCCTGGGAGCCAATGGCACAGTCTTCACTGTCCCCGGATGAACCTGGCACACAGACACACAAATGAGCAGGGAGACACATATACAAGAATAAAACGTGCCATCAAGAAAACGCATTTTTTACCCATTGTGGTCCTTCCTCCAGACAGTATTATTAATAACACTCTTTATCGCTGTTTAAATCATACTCAATATGCAAATGTTTACAGTACATTATGTTCATGCATTTCCGAATGATGAATACGGCTCCAGTTTTTATATATGTTTGTCTAGTTTATTGGCTGTAAAAATGTTTACACTTCAGAATCAAAATATCTTTATTGTCATCATACATAAGTATAATGACATTCTGTTGGCATCACTCACTGCAGTAATATAAATGGACACAAATACATAAAAGCAGTGATAAAGCAGAAGTAGCAGCAATACACTACAATTATTAAATTAAATGTCAATGCACATTATGTACATATTTGCATATTTTACTTAAACATGCTAATATACAGAACTACAAAATGTGAAAGAAACTGTGCGTTCATAAATAGATGCTACATTTTGTACTGAAATGACAAGGTAAGGAGAGGTATTGATTATCAGATATGTTTACAGCTATGTTTTGATGGCTGTAACATCTCCTGAAACTAAGCATCCACGTGTTTCCTTTGACTTAGATCTAGCAGTTCATATGTTTATATTGAGCAGGTCCTCTTTACATAGTCTCCACGCTGAGTGCCATGTTTCTACAGGTTCTGAGGACATACTTATCTCTTCCTCTAGAGAGGACCTTTCCCTGTATTATGTTCCCTGAAGGCCACCATATATTCTCCACACTTTGGTTAAAGGAGGGGTTGGGGGGGTTTCAGGTGGTTCAACAGATGATTGAATAAAGACATGACTGTCTGAATGAGGGGCCCTCACCAGTGTACGCTCCCTCCTTGTCCTTGCGGCTCTTGGTGAGTGAGCAGTATGGACGTCGCTCCTTCACTTCCATCGTGCTTCTTGTTCTGCTGGCCAACATACAGGCATGCTGTTGTATAGCTGCAGGGACAGAGAGACAGACAGGGACAACAGAAGGGTCACAGAGACATATAGGAAGAATTCCTAGAGTGTCAGGGTTGTTTGACTAAACCTGCAAACACACACAGAGACAGAGGAGTAAGTCAAGGCTTTATCCAGTGCTCAGTGAACTGCACGGCTTCAAGGGTATACACGCACCATGCACTCAGTGTTTCTTTTTCAATCTCCTATAGCTCACCATCTTTTATTCATATATCTTCTCTTGTTCCACACATCATGAATGATGATTGGAAATTGGAAAGTCACAAACAGAGAGTGACTTTAACCTGACATCAGTGTATATTAATCAAGGACGAGAACTACCATACGGTGTTTACCGTATGTGCTCCTGTGGTGACTTGATTAAAAAATCTCTATCTACAGTGTGTTGACTGTGTGTGTTTCTGTGTGATCACTCAGTGGTTTGGTTTGCCCCGCTGGTTAACATACCAAAGAGACTCATCATGCCGTCAATGCACGTCCAGAGTGTTCTTAAAAACGTTGACAAAAATGGAAATAAAGATTCATATTTTGGGTCAGGCTGGATGGAAACATTGTTTGCAGGTTGGATCAGACATCGTGTAGTCGGTCTCTTTTCATTTGGTTCATCGATGCAACTCTCTTTCAGCAGATTCTTCAGTCATACATTTAATGGAGTTCCGCAGTTTACTGATTAGCAAACACCCTCTAAGAAGAACTTAGTCTTCTTATTTTGAGGGGAATTGTACATGCGTTTGATGATTTAACACTAACAAAACACTATGTTTGTATGTATTGTTTGTAATTGCTGGGCAAATGTATTTGTTCAAGGCCTTTTGTGGCCATAGTTATGTTGAGATATGTAATCTAAAATGTTTGTGCTGTACCTTGTATAAGGACCCTCTTGAAAACAACACGGTCATCTCAAGGGGTTTATCCTATCTAAAAACATGTCAGTATAAGAAGAGCAGGAATATGATGTCACAGAGTTGCCCTCATGCCCTTTAGTTTAAAGGAAGGGTCTGTCCTTTTCAGTTTTGTTGGCGGCTTTTCTGGCAATTCACTGTTCAACTTAAGAAAATCAGTGGACAAGAACATAAATAGACATGAGGAAACCTAGCTACTAAAGTAGAGTCAAGCTTATGTCAAGCTATGTTGAAGCACTTATTTTAACTGATATGATACACATTAATTATACTCTTATGTATGTAGATAGTATAAGAAACGTGCAGAATTTGACAGTGTAATGGTGGAGGTATACACACATATTGATAGATGTCTTGTAATGCACTGTTGAGGAACCTGTGACCCAAGTTTTTCATTCATTGCATAACTACACCGTAGTTGTGTATATGATATGTCAATAAACCTTAGGAAATCTTGAAAGCTTGAACGGGATGTGCAAAATAGAAATTATATACAGTTTTTAATTAACTATTAGTAGAGAATAACGATTAATGAATATACTTTATAGAGATCTGCAGATAAATGTTTAGTCTTCTCAAGCACCAACTATCAAATATCTCGCCTGATTGTTGGCACTTGACAATCACCTTCCCTGAATTTTAAAGTCTGATTTAAGGGTTGTTTATATTTCACATCATTAATCAGAATCTGCAAAGTAACTCAAATAAATGTAGTGGAGTAAAAATACCAGGTTAACCTCTGAATTGTAGTGGAGTAGAATTACAAAGTAACAATGAGCTGTCATGTGGGTATGCTGCCCATTATAGCGATGTTCACCCATTTAGTAATTACAGGTTTTAAATTTGTACACACCAATTTGTTTCCAATCGCCTAAACCTCCAGTCAACTTCTAAATTGGGAAAAACGAAAACGTCTTTTAAAACTACAATTCCCAGTAGAGACGTACAATAGAGAACATGTTGCGAAACACAATAGCCAGCATGTGTAGTTCTGGGGGGGCGTTCGAGTCCAGTTTTGAATAGTCTGCCGTGGTTTCGTTCCATTTCGTTCCATTTCAAAGAGCTCAACGCTCGGCGTAACCTTGGCGCACAGCCACTCCAACATCCAATCCCAGAGCTTGAAGATTAATCACGGGGTTTGTCAACGGGACTGTAGTCCCAAACGATAGCTGGGGATTATGGGTAGTGTAGTGTCTTCGGCCATCCTAAACTCTGAATTGTTTTTCCGGATATCATATCGCATTCACACCATATCCCAATGTGCATTGCGGCTAAAACATCCAATTAGCGAACATGAAAACATTCCCAGTTAAACATAAAAAAACAAATCGCTAAATAAAAAGATAAAACACTGGCATGTAATTTACGTTAGAATAAATAGAATGGTTTTGAATAATAGATGAGAGTAAAATCTACGTCACTTTACAGCCCCGCCCACTTTTGGGGAAACCAACGCTGTCATTTGAACGGTGATCAAGCCTGAAGCCACAGAGATCTTCTGTTACTGTCCTTTCTTCTTAAGAGAAGTACATAAACATGTAACTCTGGATTTGTTTTCATGTTTGAGGTGCAATAAACGACACAGCAGCTTTTTGGCATGTTAAAACTATTATTTTCTGCCTCGCTCATGAGAGTAACAGCTGGAGAAATTACAGCCTTGCCTACTGATTTCAAATGTGTGCTCTAAAATTATATTTATAAATGACTATTATCATTATTATAAGCAAGAAAATAAGTGGCAAAGATATGTAGGAAATAAACGTATTTAAGATACGTTCATATCAAACGTAACGTGGGAGAAAATATGTTTCTAGAAGATATGTAGAAAATAAACGTATTTGAGATACGTTCATAACAAACGTAACTTGGGAGAAAATACGTTTCTAGCTAAACGTAATTGAGAATGCAGTTTAGTTTAGTTTTAGAGACAGGGTTGTACAGTTGGTAATGCAGAAAATAGGCATTGTTAGGTTACAAACAAAAAAAAGTTAAATAAAAATACCGCTTTAACCAGTTGGAACTCTGAAAATGAATTTTTCGACTAATGAGTTGGTTGGCCAAAGAACGATCTGTTACATCTTGGGAGAAAAACCCCTCTAACATTGCATGATGTGAATACATGTTACTTGATTAGACCATCTGGCCTGTAATGTAAGTAAAGAAAAACACAAAAGTGGAGGGAGTGGAGCAGTTCATTCATCCTGCAATGTTCCCTTTAGCTTCATTATACAGCACAGAGCAGCAGGGATGCACAGTCAATGTGAAGTGAAGAAAACAAATAAAACAGATACAAGTCTCAATAAATAAATATGAAGTCATCTGTTTAGCAAAAATACTCTTTTTTCCCCTCTATTTAATTTCACAGAAATCTAAAAATCTTTGGAATTTCAGACAAAGACAACTGTTTAAAAATGTAATCTTGGTTAGTGTTAAACACTATTCTTCAAATATTTATGAGTTAGCCTTCATGCAGTACTGCTGATTGTGGGTTTACATAGGCCTGCTGGTTTTTGTGCTGCTCTATGCTGACGTATGAGTGATGAAGTAGAATTGATCCTGCGATGGGACGGTAAGCTGATGGGATGGATCCACAGGCTGTCAGCACTTCTTTCAGTCATGTGTGCGTCTCCGGATACTCTTAGAGTCGCCAGCTGCTGTCACTGCTGAGTTTTACACTGATAGCTTAACATGAAGGACAGTATATCACCTGGAAGCAGCTCAATGCAAATGAATCAGTGCTGGTCTTTAAAAATAATCTACCTTTCATTGTTTGACAGACAGGTGGATATACAGTAAATGAGAGAGAGGGTGAGCAGGAATGTTGTGTGAGCACAGAGGAAGCACACACATATGTGAGGTCAAGAGTGACAGAGGACACAGCATATATATCATTGTGGTAAATGTGTTAATACAAATAAATTAAAAAGGAACATCAGTATGCAGACATGAAGAGAGGTGATACATTTAAACCAGAAACTATTTCGTGATGATTAATGGTTTTTGTGTCCATGTAAAAGCAGTAAAAAACCGACATGTCAAATTTTACCGAGAACACCAAAGTAAGCTTGGAGAAAGGAACACGACAGGAGGGCCAAGAAAGTCTGAAGGAGATGCAAGTAAAGACAGCCAGTGGTGGTCCCTGTGCTTTATAAGCCCTCAACTTAATCTGAGACACTGAGCCGTAAATCCCCCACCTTCTGGACCTGCGCTGCATATATGTGTGTGTGTGTGTGTGTGTGTGTGTGTGTGTGTGTGTGTGTGTGTGTGTGTGTGTGTGTGTGTGTGTGTGTTACGGACATGTGTTGTTTGTGAGGTTGTCTCCTGATGCACTTTGCTGTCCGAACTACTTGGTTTGTGCATACTATTCTAGTCTGCTTTTACCCATCTTATTCATTATAGCTACTTATTTTCCATTCAAAGTGTGTGTGAGTTAGATTAGAGCCCCCCCCACCTGCAGGCTGTGGACTGCCGAGGAGCAGCAGGAGCTGGGTTTGGAAGGCGAGCAAACATCAAGAACACCAACGTATAAAGACATGCTCACCATGGAGCCACTGTGGAGCCAAGTGCTAATGAGATACATGATATTCATATATTAACTGCTGATCTGCATTGGGGTGGATGATAACGGTGAGCCATGTTGAGAGCAGGGGCCCTGTTGGCAGGGGGGCCCTGAATCATTCAGAGGAGCAGGAGGTGCTGGGTATATGTATTCTCTCAGAGCTGTTGTTGAGAATGTTGTTCCTTCTTATAAACCAAACCACAACAGATAAAATACTCCACTACATTAAAATTGGGCTTTTTTACATGCTCATAATATTACGTCATGAATATTATGTTCTTAACTGACAATATCTGGTGCATTTACACAATAGTGAGATTTTCATTAAAACAGCATAAAATCTCATACAAACTAGAACCACAACTTCACGGCTGTATGCCTCCAGCAACAAGTCCAAAGTGTTTCTGTCCATATCTGTCCAGACATGTTTGTGTCTTGAGCTATGGCCAAAAAGGTGTTTTGTGAGATCACAGAGAGTCAGTGACCTTTGTTCCGATGCATTTTAAGGAGGTTCAAAGTGGACGAATGTAGGACAGACAACCCATAGTATCATTAAAACTGCCTGGGCTGTCCGACTGTAGAAATGTCTATCTGTCTGTTTGTCTTCTTCTTTCATTTTAATATCTTAGGAATTAGAATTCGGTGGCCATAACTTCAGCGTAATGTGCTATTTCTGGTGACAAAACTGATGAGATTAAAAAAAGACAGTATTTTGTTTGGCTTGCTGTCCTTAATGCTTACCATAAATATGTCAAATTAATGCACATTTAATATCAATATCCAGCTCTGGTGTCAAGTTGTTTATTATTTTATCCGACAAGTCCTAATACAATCAAAATGTGTTTAATCTAAACTGATCAAGGAGGAAGCTCATGTACGTGCCAGTCTCTGTGACTGACTCAGTGAACATTTAGTTGTATATGTTCTGAGATAAGTACGTCAGTGATGAAGCGTTTTGAAGTATTTCAGTTTGTGTGTCTTTAAGGTTGGCTGAGTGTGAGGAGAATGTGTGTGTTGAGTTCCCACAGTCGATGCCGCTGCTTCTGTTAATCACTTTGCTATTAATGTTGTGTTCAGTGAAGTGCACGGCTTCATGGATCCTAAGAATGCACACATTATGCGCTCAGTGACATCCCTCCCTTTTCTTTTTCAATCTTCTCTATCTCACTCTATCTTTTATTCATATCTCATTTCTCTTTCCTGTCTCTTTCCACACATCATGAATGATGATTGGAAACTGAAAAGTCACAAACAGACAGACAAATGTCTCCAACAGCACAGCATCCCACCCTGTCCAAACACTACCTCAGTGTCTCACATTCTGCAATAGACCCAGAGTACACAGAATATATTGACTGAAATGAAAATATATTCATGAAAAGTAATACAAACTATAACACATATTATAAAGGTATATACAGATAAGGTAAGATAAGATGGACCTTTATTGATCCCTAGGGAAGTTCAGGTGTAATAGCAGCAACAGAATAAGAGGGAAGCAGACAGTAGAAGTGAGAATACACACAGGGATAATAATAATACAAAATATGAATAATTACAAACATGAGTTAAACTCTGATCAGGTAATTGTACATAAATACAGATGTGTGAACAAAGTTAAATATATATATATCAGTGGCGAACCGCATCTATCAAAACTGGACCTTCTGTAGACACACACACACCCCCCGCCGTGCATTTTTTTTTCCAACACAAAACCACTCAAATGTACGGACGAGGATTCGGGCCGCATTATTATTTTTTTTGGGAGGATTTGAAAAAAAAATGTATTTTTTTTAGGGCCGGGACGCGATTAAAAAAATTAATCTAATTAATTACAGGCTTTGTAATTAATTAATCGCAATTAATCGCATTTTTAATCGCATATAAATATTTGACCTGAGAACAGTGAGAAGCAATTTTTTTCACATGGATTTTAGTATACCATTGAATAATGACTGAATACATAAGCTTAAGCAACAAAACATTGTTTATTTTTTTCAAGGCTATACTTAACAAAGACCAACAGAAAAGTGAAATTTTTGCCATAAAGTGTAGCAATAGCATATTTAGGAATACAGTACATTTCAGAGATTCAGGTAGCCTATAGGTAGGTAGACCTTCTGTAAACTATAACACTTTGTTTTTGAAGTATAACACAATACTTTCAAGTACATTCAGAACATTGGAAACCCTGACTATTAGAAAACATCTCTCTGTTGCTTCAGAGGCCATAACAGACTTTGTTGATTTACCAACAGTTGATTTAAAAAATCTAATCAATTTCAGTCCAACTCTCTCAATAACCTTGGCCAAAACAATAAACAGTTCAACATAAAGTGCCAGTTGCACCAACAACGTAATAAATAGTTCAACATAAAGTGTACCATTTAAAATAA